CATGTTATGCAAACATGAAACAAAAAGACATACCTTGTAGTGTGTTGCCAGATTCACCCATGTTTTGAAAGGGAAGGTTTTTAGCCTGACGCCTTGGGCTGAGGGCAGGGATCTGTGGTCTGAGATGCGTGACTGACTGCAGCAGGGGTGAGATTAACAACATGGTTAAAGGTGGAAACAGCTCTGCCATGACAAGCCCTCTGGCATGGACCTCAGTACCAGTGAGGCAGTCATGAGCCGTTCTACCTTTCTGCAGCTAACAACCAAGAGCTGGTTTTTGATAACATAACAGGGAGCTGATAGCAGGTGTGGCCTAATCACTATGTTGGTCATAAGTGAGAGCAGGTATTTGGGGGAAGGCGGGGAGTGCCTTTTGTAATGCTACTAGCACAAAGCGTTGTAGCTCTGCAGAAATCTCATTTGCCTGGTTCAGTGTGTCTACCTGATATTGCTCGTCGTAGTGGTGTCTGTGATGCCCTTGCTTGTAATGCTGGGGAGGTGTGAAGTGAATAGAGATGTAGTAACTCTCTGCCTCCTTCGAAGAGCTTGCCTTTCAGGAGCTGCAGTGAGGTCTCAAGTAGCTTTTAACTGTGATAGCTGAAAGAGGAAGGCGGGAAGGTAGGGACAGACATTCCTCTGCCCTGCAAATATGATTTGCTAGATAGCCTCCTCTTGACAGAAGTGGCAGCAGCATCAGAGTGAGTCTTGAATGTGGTGCTGACCCATATATAACTCTTAGCTGACCCAATATAACTCCAGCTATGTTGCTCATATTGTACAGGCTCTGCCAGCCCTCCTGAATCATGTGGTACCTCTTGTTATATCAGGCTGTACACAAGGTAGCCCTGTCATCTCTACTTTGCTGTAAAACAACCTCCAGGCTTTGGCATGTGTAACTCATATATTTGCTTTTCCTGGCAAACTCGGGTTTCCCCTGGTCTCAAGCTCTTGGTGGCTCACAACACATGTGGTGTTTTGCGAATAACTAGGCATGAGGGGGTGGAGTGGCAATCTATTTGCTCTTCTAGGCCTCAGGGTGACAGCAGCAGCTGTTCTTCAGCCCCTGTGTGCAGTACTAAGTACCTTCCCTACGTCTGCGTGCAGATCCAATTTGATCTGCTGACATACTCTGTGGGCCCATGTCAGTAAAGTCCAGAAAAAGCCTGACAGAAAAGGGTCCTCCTTGTTCTCTGGCCTTTTTGCTTCTACCAGGATAGATTTTTCTGGACTTCTATAAAGTCTATACAACTGCAATGGAAATATGTACGTGACTGGCTGTTACTCAGGTCATGGAGATTAGCCTGTAGAAATACTATACTACTTTATTGTTGTCTCACACCTAGCTGCTGTGCCTACGACTACAGTATAGCCTTAAGCTGTGGGATACTTTGCCATGTGGTATTGTGGATGCTGAAAACTCCTGCAGGTTCAGAAGCAGATTGGAGGAATTATGGAAGAGAAATCTGAGTGTTACTAAATTCATGGGTGCGACATCCAGCTTTGGAAGTTCCTGTCAACAAATGGTTAGAGGCTTGGAGAGCATGCATGGAGGCATCATATATGCTTGCTCTGCTCTCAAAGAGAGGGAAGGTACCTGCTTTTGGCTGCTGTCTACAGAGGCTATGAGTCTACGAGAACTCTTAGTCTGATCCAGCACAGCTACTATTATGTTTCAGAGCCTGTTGATCTTAGTGGTAGTAAATACAGTTATTTGGGTTTGTAACTCCTGAGAAAATAAGTAGGTATGACTCAAATTCTAATGTGGAAACTCCAGAAAGAATGGATTGGGGGGGGGTGGGGGTGGTGGTGGTGTGTGTTTTGCTTGACTGACCCTCAAACGAATAAGTACACTGACACACAACAGCTTTCCACATTTACTCCCAGATTCTAGCACTGTGTAGTCAGCCGGAATTGGAAACCAGAGATGGAAGGCACGTTTGTGATTCACTGCTTCCTGATAAAGTGGGGATGGGGGTGTGAGATGGAAAAAGTGATACAGCCTTCATATGTCATACCTAATTGATCTATGCCTTCATCAGGAGAAAGAAAGGAAGGGTCTGGGGCAAATTTAAGTATACTTTTATCTAATTATTCATTAACTCTTTTAACCTTGGCAGTTTCAGGAATGTGTAGCCTGGTTTTACTGCGGACCACTGGGAAGTCTGAGAAGGTTTAGGATGAGCTATAACTTCTTAACTAGCGACCTGGATCATGCAAAAGTGTCCCAACTC